CCGCCTCCGGGGGGGTGCGCGGGGCCTCTCGGCGTCCCGCCGCAGCCCCGCGTCGCTCTGTGCCGCAGGCGTCCCGCCGGGGGAGCCTCGTCCCCGCCGCCGCCCCATGGCCCTCAGCAGCGAGCGCTTCGGTGCCCTTCTAGGGAGAACCGTTAAAGTCACCTTAAAATGCGGCGTCTTCCAGGGGGTGCTGCAGCACGTGAACCCCGACCGGAGCCTCCTCCTGCGGACAGGTGGGGGCCCTGCGCCGCCTCAGCGCCTGCGAGGGGAGCGGGAGGGGCGCAGGCGAGCACCGCGCTGTGAGACCGGTGGCTGAGGGAGGGGCGCCTGGCTCCGCCGTGGGCGCTGTGTCACGGGTGGCGTGGGCAGCCTCCCACCCCGAGCCTGCCCGCTGCGCCCTACGGGTGCTTCCCGGCAGCCAAAGCCGGCACCGGGGTGAATGCAACAGGTGCTCAGGGTAGAAGTTAGCAGCACCTGCCTGTGCTCTCAGCGGAGAGGCTGTGTAGGTGCAGCAGCCCTGAGTTGTCCCTGCTCGGTGAGCAGTCATCTCGTGGAAAGCCTCTTCTCAGCGTGAAAGAATAAATAACCCATTGCTTGATTCCCTTCCTCCCACCCCCCCACAGTGGAACTTGATGTATGTCTGTATTTTTTCCCCTCATTTCAGTGAAGAACTTGGAAACGGGCAGAAGCAGTCCAGGAGTAAAGATGTTTTTTGGCCATGAAATAGTCAATGGTGAGGCTTTTCTTACTGCAGTTTTGGGGCACAGGGATCATGCCCACTCTTAGTTGAGCATTTTAAATCCATTTTTTGGTCACTCTGCTGAATTCTTCAGTTGCATATCTTTCTTCTAAAATCTGTAGGAATCAGAATGTATAAATCACACAACTTTCGTTCCCCAATTATCTATCAGTGAAATAATAATAATTCCCCACTTTGTGAAGGTCTTGTGACTGTACTGCATTAAAGCTCATTAGTTAAATAATGAATAAAGTCCAATAAGACTGCTAATGAAAGTAACCATTCCAAAGGTAATCAGTTGAGATAAGCAGGCGCCCTGTTTACGTCCTGAAGGCAAGTTACATTCACTGTGTATGTTCTTATATGTGCAAGACTTTGACTAATGGACTCTGCGGGGAATTTAAATTGCTTAAAGTTCTAGTTAACTTGATTTTGCTTTTACTCTTGCACAGGCAAAAGCATCTCTATGAAATGGTCTGTTTAGCTGAGCCTCTTTCCATGATTCACTAGTGAAAAGAATATGGGATTATTTAAGAAAAACATTTCTGGTGTATAAAGGTCCTGTGCTTTTCTATTGGGGGATCTGCTTTGCTTTGGAGACAAAGAGCACAGTGTTGAGGAGGAAATAGCTAGAAGGCAGCTATTGGACTTATCAAGTGACTGACTCCATTCTGCCTTTTTCCTTGCACCTGCTTTATTGTATATGTAATAGTCTGTAAAGTAATTTAGTTGTAGTTTGATATTGACTTTGTTTTTGGTGGGATGCTTAGCCATTAGTCTTGTTTAAATGCTGGAGTTCTGAAATGCACCTTATCTAGGCTATCGATGTAAATTATTTTATATAGATTTGTACATCAGAGCGAATTTAAAATTATTTAAACTATACTTTGGGTTAAATTTCTTCTTTTGCATGTATGGCCATATCCTATGGTAGTTATTATCAGTTATGATTCTCCTTTTTTTGGGAGATAACAAGTGTCAAAATGTTGCTTGTCAGCACTAGAGTATAAATTGTTTGTTTCTGTTGCAGTGGAATTGCTGGACGAACCAGATTCAGGGAAGGGAACAGCAATGCTCTCCGAGTATGTTGAAATGTTTCCTTCCTTTCACGGTAGGAGAAGGGGTGGGATGTGCTTGCTAGGGGAGCCACCACTTACGTCTAATATAACACTGAGTTCAGACTCAGCTGTGCCAAGTTTGTATTTCTTTGCTCTAAAGAGGTGAACAAGTTGGTGAGTGGAAGACCTCCACTGTGTAAAAGGTTCTTTTAAGCTATTGCTTACAATTTCTCTCTCTTGCTTTTTTCTTTTTTTTTTTTTTTTTTTTTTTTTCCCCCACTAGTGTTCCTAGGTAGAAGAATTTGCTTGGTTTGTTTCCTTGTCAACTTGTGGTTTCAGGGAGGATTTCCCATGAGCATTTCTTCTGTGGTGGAACAGTTCCAGTACAATTGCACAGGGAAGGTTAGGTTTATACAGATGCTCTCAAAGCATATATAAATGTGACTTTGGGAAGCTGGTAAAAATACGTTTCAAACTCCTGCAGACCCATGCTCCTAGGTGGCTTTGCTTTGAGTCTCCTCACAACACCACATTTGAATAGTTTATTCTTCCTCTTAAGAGAAGTAGGAATGAAGTGGTGTCTACTGAATAGTCTTTAAAATATAGTTAAAAAGTACGTAGAATTGTGATTAGCAGCAGTCTTCTTGCTGGCTGCTGTCTTTTCTTTCTTCCTGTTCAGCAAGCCTATGTTCACACATACTTGAATATGCTCACCTCGGTAGCAAATTCCTGTGTTAATCCTTTAAATATACAATTTCAGATATAAGATTCTTCAGCTACATCTAAAGGCTGATCAGAAAGTTTTTTTGATGTTTTATTCTATTGAGATAGAGAAGTACATGATTGGAGCTCTGTAATCATAGTGGGGTGGTTTTATATCAATATAAGGAAATTTATACTAATAAGTCATATTTCCTAGTGAAGTATTCTTGACCTCAGACTGTCCTGTCGTGGAAATTAAGCATCTTACATGTGACATCTTTCAGTCAGGTGAATGTTTACTATTTGTTTTGGTCCTGAGATGCTACCGTTTTATATGATTTAATAACTTCCATTTAATTACAGTAAAGTTTCAGTGCATATAACTGTTTTATGTACTGGTGAACTTGTAAAATTGCCCTCCAATTACTAGTAGCTAACTAATGGATCAAAAACTCACAGATATTTAAATTGCGTCGTTCTTGGGCTCAGGTCAGGTACTTCATTCTTTATACTTTGAACTCTTTCCTCCCTTGAAACCATTGCTGACCTTTGCAGTGAACAACTGTTCAGGTTCTGCTTTCAACTTTTACTTTCAGAATAAATGTGAAATTTTATCTGAAATAAAGGCCCTTTTGTGCAAAATAAGCTTATTGTTGGGTAGCTTCAAGATCTTCTTTAAGAACATGCACATTGGATTGGGAAGTTGCTTCACATGCAGCAGTTCATTGTCGGGATGCAGGTAGATGGCATTTGATGAAATAATTTTCTTTATTAAAATGTCCATGCTGGTAGAATGTGTGATGTTTTGACTTCTGTGCTACATATGGTTCCCTTGCTTGTGCAGGTGCACTTCAGCTGTTGAAAGGAACAAACAAGCAGACACAGGACCAGCAGATTGTAGCCCACGGAGTTCTCCTTGTGTTTCCTTAGAGAGCCAGCTCAGAGCCTCAAATGGCTTAAAATACTCCTTCTCAGGTAATGTGGATATTAGTCAAGCAATGTAGTTAGTTTGTCTTTGTCAGACAACATCTTTCCCAGGGGCTGTAAGCTCTTGGTTTGCCTGTATCAGAACAGGATGTACTCTGAAAGAACAATGGTCACAGAAAGACAGGTACAGAGCTCATTATCTGCAGACATGCTCTTTGCCGGCAGATGCGTTCACAGCATCAGAAGGAAACCCATCTGCTTTCCAGAATGTTTATCCCATAGATCTCATCAACTGTAAAAGTGGCTGAGCAGCACAACTGATCTTTTGGATAAATGAAAGTGCTTCAGCCAGTGAGCATTGCTTTCTGGTGATTGCTTTAATCTTATACTTGTTCCTGAAATGTATGTGACATGATAGATAACTCGGAGCTCAATAAGACTCTTTGGTTCTGTGCTGGCTGTCATGTGCTTGCATTGATTTGATTGTGTGGGTCCTGCTGTATACACATACGCAGGTACAGATCCAAAATGTCATCAGCTTGTTCTGTTCTCATAGAGCTGTGACAAGAGTGCAAGACCTGTATGGGCTAAAGGAAGGTTAGCTGCATTTACCTGGGTAGCAGGGGAGAAGATGAGCAAGGGTTGATGTGATCTGGGAGAGCCTTTAAAAATTTGTTTTTATGATCTTTCAATTGACTGTTATTTTAGAGTTTAGAAGATTGTCCTTGTGTTGTCATAGATGCGTATTATTAACATTTTCATCTTACCTAAAGAGAAGGAAGAATCTTTAAGAGAACCCTTCTTTACCTGTTCATTAGACATTGTTAAGCAGGTGTTAAAAATATTAAAATCTGGCTTAAATTCTCTTTGTCCCCTTGATCACTTAGTTGTCTGTGTTCTGTGGTGTCACTGTCTGTTAGTTTTGTCTTTGTTACAATACTTTTCTTTCCCTGGACAAACCTGGGAATTAGGGTCCTTTTTTTAAATGGATGTAATTTTTTAAACTGAAACTTTTTTGTTTCCTTTATGCATCATAATGACAAAAAGTAATGCTGCAACTCACTTTTAAACAGCCAGTTTTTCTGTCAAAAAAACAGAATTTTGGCTCATCCTCTAGACTGTACGCATCTGAATCAGACGGTTCAGTAATCTGTTTGGCTGTGTACAGGAAGTAGAGAGGGAAGAACTGAACAGCTAAACCAGAAAAGTAGAGTGATTATACAACTAAAATACATACTTTGTACAAAGTTTATTCAAGTAGAGGGAGTGTCTAATGATTTTTTTTTTCTTCCCTTTAGAGAAGAAAGAAGAAGAGAATGTGGACTACACAGTTGTTGATTGTTTCCAGCAGAAATTTGGCCCAGCAGTAAGTACAATGAAAGCTCTTGTGCTGCATATAAGACTTCTAAGCCTGTTCCGTTCTAATTGTCAGTAGATCCGTTAGGTGGCAGGATTGTGAGCATTGCTTCATGACGTCTTATACTGGCAATCACTTTTGGAGACTGTAGTGACATTTGAGTAATAGGCAGTAACTGGCTTCTTTAAGTCAAGTAGAAATGGTATCTCTAGTGGCATCAAAATATATTTAAAGTGTGCATACATGCAGGGAAAGATTGCAGTGCACGTGAGTTTGCAGTGGGTGGATGTGAATCTGCATCAGTGTGTGTTGGTTGCTGTTTTCGGACTCTGTATCCCCAGTGACTGAGGTGAAGGGTCAGTATTACTATTTAGTGAACAATTATTTTGTTTAGGAAGGGAACAACATGAGGATTTGTTGGCATTTGGAGAGGGAATTGATTGTGTTGCTTTTGTAGGTGTCTGGAACTCCAGACGTGCCTGGACCTTTTCCTCTTAAACCATGTATAACAACATAAGTGGACTTGGTAGAAAGGCTTTGTTTCAGAACTCGGAGCCAATGATGGATTTATTATTAAATTTCATAGCATTTTTTTTAGATTCTGAATTAGACCAGCAATACTATAGGTCCTCCATGCCATTTTGTCTTGCAGTAACATCAGTTGTGATTTGGGCTTTTATTATGGTAAATCTATTGCATATACAGAGGAAAAAGCTTTTTGCACACAGGAAGAGATTTCCCTTCTTACAGAGGAATCTTAACTGTTGCTTGAAAAAGAAGATGGCTTTTTTATTTCTGTTTATGCCTTTTACTCTTGAGTTACATGTGCACTACAGGTTGCTTTATCTTAATTGTTTGAAAACTTTTTGTGTCTGTGAGAGTTCTTTTATACCTTAGAAAATGAGTTCTCCTTTCTAACTGAAAGGGACATGTTCTTTATGTGATCTTAAGCAAGTTCCTAAAACCTACTTAGGAGAGTTTCTTGGGAGGAGATCGGGGAGTCTGTATTCTTTAGTTATCCATAATCTCTGCTAAATCTATCATTGATGTTTCTAGTTGCAGAATTTCCAGCTGTCTTATCTGTAACTGGACTGATACCATGTCTGTTTCTCTTGCATCACTATATACCTGAGATTCATTGTGGGTTTGATCTGTATTTACATTTTTAAATATGGATCATGACCAGAAAAATCACAGTTTACTATTTGTCCCTCTGCCTATCATTCTCTGGCACTATTTATTTTATCCCTATTTTTTTCATTAGGTGCTGCACCTGAAACAGCAGTGTGTTGTCAGTGTAGCAGGAGAAGGTGTTAATTTGTGTCGTCACGGAAGACTCTCATGGCTTGAGGTAAGAGGCAGATATGTCCCAAAATGTGCCACTAAACAGAGGCGTAACTGAGAAACATTTGGGGATTAGCCTGTGTTTAAGACTTACTCATGTAACTGTTTTGGTAAGAGATACGATGTTCTTCAAGACAGATCAGGTATTTCGTAAAAGACCTTTTATGGAAAGAATTATGCCATTATAAGGCAATATAATAATTACTTAACTTGTATGTACTATATACATTTGTATATAACAATGTAACATTTGTTTTGCCATTTTTGTATACTTGTATACAGGTAGAGGTATTACACTAGTACAGCTGTTACCTATTGAAAAACTGCAAGGCCTAATCACAATGCCAATATAATTGAAGGAGTAAAATCCATCTAAAGATGATACAGTATCTTAATTAACTGTGATATTATCAACATCCATAAAGGAAGGGACAGAAAGGAGAATAGCTTAATATGTTAGCTCAAAATCGTCTTAGTTTATTTTTCAATTGGTTTAAAAGCGAGCGTGCTTATCTGAAGCAAAAACTCCTGTGGGAGTTCATGCTTCAAACTTAACTTGTTTATGCAGAAGTAAGTGTCCGCAAAATGTTTGCTTTGGTATGGCTAAATTGCTTTTAAATAACGGCTTTTGTTAAACCATTATGAATTTGAACATAGGCAAAACCTAAATTTTATATCCTGTTTGAAATGCTAGGATGGAAAACAATGTCCTTTATTTCTTTGGTAGTGGTCTCTGACAATGAAAGGAATGTCTTGGGCACAAGAGTTTTGTTGGAAGTGGTTCTTTAAAAATGTCATCGTCATAGCTGTAGGAATGTATTTTAAGTACTATGCATAGGGTTTGCTCTTGATAGGTCTCAAAATGCTGCATATAACTGTGTATAGTAGACTACTGGGTCATTCTTTCTAATTATTGTGTGTGTCTCTGAGCATCTCTGAAAAAAACAAGACTTGTTTATGGATTTTTTTTTTTTTTTTATGGAACCTGCTCTCCCCAACATAAGTCTGTATGTAGGTGATTATGGCTTTTTGTACAGCCACCACACATTATGGTTGGTGAAAAAGCCACAATGCATTCTCTCCTACTTTCAAATCCTGTGTTCTTCTGTCCCTCACTCATTTTCTCTGCAACTGAATTTGTTGTAGATAGCAACAAAGAGCCGTATTTTTCTATTTGATATCTTCCTTCTGGGACCTCAGGCTTTCAAAAATGGATTACAAATGGTGCTGGAAGACAAAAACATCTTGAAGGTAAGAGTACAGGGTGTGTGAGGAGATGTGTGGTGGCAGAGGTCATATACACATATAGTGATCTAGCTGCACCAAAAAACTTGCAGTTGGACACAGGTTTGTCTGACAGCTCTTTCTTGCTTCAGGTCATGCATGATTGCCGCTGGATCTCAGACTGCCTCTTTCACCAGTACGGTGTCCTTCTCTTCAATGTCTTTGATACACAGGTACCCTTCAAATATTGTGGTTGGGAACAAAAGTTTCAAGAGAAACTTCAGCCTCGTTCAGGGCATTCTCTCAGAGAAGGTTTAACATTACTAGAATGTGACAGTTGTTGAACCATGTAAATGTAGCATTTTTGTTTTAGCTAAAACGAGCCAGCAGGCAAGGCTGACTGTTATTTAGAGTCTTGTGTAAACCCATTTTAAAAGGCAGTTAATATCTAATATTAGCAGCAAGTTTTAATGTGGTTTTTTTTAAGATGTATTAACTGGTCTTGATCAAACTTGGCACAACCTGAGGCTACTGTGACTTAAAGGAGAGCCAAGTCAGCTTGTACTTTATATTCTTTGTTACTCTTTCTGCCCCTTTCACAAGTGTAGAAACAGATTGAGACTACAGGTATCCAGCACTGGGAAGCACTCGCCAATAAAAGCAGTGGTGGAAGTGAGAGAACAGGCCAGGTTACCACAAAAATCTGTTTTTGCTGCTGCTGGCCCTGGTAGTTGTGGTAGTTAATGTTGTGTGACTAACAGGAGAACTGGAGCCTTTCAAGAGCGAAGAAAATAACATAATGGCTATGATCTTTCATAATGGGCATGGATGTTATGCATAGTTACGTATGACTTGTCCTTGCCTATATACTGACTTTTCATGTCATATCTATGACTGCCTATAGTGATGCTTTAAAGCCCTAATCTGGGCTAAGTAGTAAGCTTTATACAGCAGAGGTTTCAGTCCCTTTCTGATCATAGTTTGGCCTTTTGCCCCTAAAAATTATGTTATTCCATTACAGGTCAAATATCAGTCAGTGTCAGTGTTAAGTCTTGACTGCATGAAAAAGGTAGGGGTGAAAATTCCCATCAGTGCTCCCAACTGTACTGGCTGGAACATGTAACTGATACAGTGGAAATAACTAACCAGAACTGTCCACCCTAGGGTCTGAGGTACAGAGAATTGCACTCATCGTTCTGTTGTCTTGGTATGAGCTGACATGCATGCTTTTCTTGCAGTGATAGATCTCTAGGCTTAGATTCAATTACTCTGATTCATTGGCCTGAATCGTACTTCTAATGTAAGTAAGCTAGTGAAGTAGTCTGGTTTTGGCTACCTTGCGGTGTACCTGATATTGTGGCATTAAGCCATTAAGCTGTCTTGTCTTCTACTCTGTGCTACTGAAGCAAATAACTGGGAGATACCTCTGAGCAAACTCTCATAGATGCTTTTTGTGAAGCGCTTCTTAGAGACAGCTTCTCGGTGTTGTTAAAATTGGAACAGGCTGTGCGCACAAGTGAGACTCTGCTTAAAAAACACAGCAATGGAATGAAGAACTCTGGGTTAGATGGGATCCCGTCTGCATAATTTGAAAAGTGTTATTTATCCCTGGTTTTGGCCAGTTGCTGCAACTATTTATTCCTTGCAATAAGTAACCTAATATAATTAACACAATATGTAGAGGATGGCAGTGAAAAGTTTCTGATGTTCACTGACTGTCTTCCCCACTGACGTTCTCATATTACTTAAGCATCACCTGTTGAAGTAACTTTTAATGATAATGTTTGTGGAAGTCCGATACTGCTGTTTCACATTTGACTGCCTTGGTGTGTGTGCATTTGTCCCTGTTGGGCTATAGCAGCCTAAAAAGCTGCATAGTGAGCAGACAACTGGCTGTTGTCAGTGCTTACATCCCTGACATTGCCTTCTGGGACACTTCAGCGCTGCATCATGAGGCTAGAGCATTCTCACGCTCGGAGTTCCATGTCTGTTGTAAAATGTTGTTAGTTGCCTATCTGTGTACTACCAAAAGAAATAATACAATTCTTCCTAGAGGTGTGTGCTGAAAGAATAAAGAAAATTTGTCAGCTTGAGACTTTGCATAAGACAGAGGTCCGTGCAAGGTTTAATCATAATATGTACAAGTGAAGAAGTCACTGTTGCTGTCTGGTTCCACAGATCAATGCACATACGCTACTCTTTAGCGTGTCGTAGTTTTTCTTCTCCTTGAATCCAAGCCATTAGCATGCAATGACTTTGGACAAAGATTTTCACAGTAAAAGGTAAAACATTGTTTTCATTGTGGGCAAGGTAATTCTATAACCTTGTTCATTCAGATTAGACTTTTTATGATTATTGATTGCAAAGACGCTTTCATTTTTGTTTAAATATTTAAGTCTCTTTCTCTCCTTGTTTGGAAAGCATTGAAATTTTTTACTAGAAACCCTCTAACCATCTAGAAGACTGGAATATATTTCCATAGATTTGAACATCATCTTTGTTTCGACTTTGAGTAAAAGTAACTTATGGCTTGAGAAGGTCTTTCCTGAGGTTCCTTTTCATCTGTGTTTGGCCACTGAGAGCACAAAGCCAGAGAAGGTTTTAGCAATCAGAAGTACAATACAGAGGACTGTTCAGTAATGAATGACGGAAACTTCCTCTTTACCTGGGGATTTGTGCTTACAATCCAGTGAAGGTCAGCTTCACCTGGGTCTTCTCCATTTTCTTCTCTTCAGTGAACTCATCGGTTTGCATTGTTGCAATTCCTTTCTCCAGGTATGCTTCCTGCCACTTTTCAGCTAGTGGTTGTAGATTTCTTTGGCCTTCAGCAATGTAGTGGGCCTAGCAGAAATATAGGCAGTCCGAGATACTCTGTCCTACCACAGAGCATAGGAGGTCTCACATTTCTTTCCTTAGTCCCAGATTGCTTGTTCTACTTGTGGTGCTCTAATGTTCTGCATTTTCTTCGTAATATCTTCATACAATCTTTTATTCCTTGGAAATTCAGTAAATAGATTGGCTTAGCACTTTCTTCTGGTAGGCTTAGCAAACACATGGCTTCTCTCCCAGAGAAGGCAGCAGTTAGGTATTTAGATGATGCCTTAGAGGCAGCTGTATTCATTGATAAATCATACCAGCTTGTTTGCCTTTGCTATTGGACAGGAAGAGATTATCCCTGCCCCCCCCCCCCCAAACTTTTTAGAAAAATTAGGGAGTGG